TTATTACCACTATTTTTTAAACGAGGTGTGCAGACCCTGGCACCTGCAGGCGGTACGCAGTGCAAGCGGGACTTGTCACATCAGGTGTGCATCCCAGGAGAAGCTTTTATTCCCTATTCTTTTTATATTATTACTATTAGGATTTTATTCCTTTATTTTTTTTATTATAGGCTTCCCTCAGGAGCATCTCCTCTGGCCCACGCAAGCACCGCTCCCCTCTTAAGTAGGGAGGAACACCAAGATGCCACTCTCCGATTTCTTTCCTTAGCAAAACCTTCTCTTCCTCCTCTTCCTAAATAATTTCCTTTTCTTGCAGGCACAGCAGCAACTTCTTCTCTAACCTTAAAACACCCCTGTTTGGATTGTTGAATCAAGTTCTCACATTTTTTCCCCCAAAACAGTTCTGAAGCGCTCAAGGAGGACAGGGAAAAACGATGGGTTTTGTCGTACTGAGAAGGAAGGAAGCAGCAATCGGGTTTGTCCGCCGAGAAACCAGGCTTCCAGCAAACCCCAGGATCTCTGTCTGGAGGAGGGAAGCGGGATGCTCACCTCTCAGGCAGCATCTTCCCAAGCTTTGGCAGAAAATAAACCCGATGCAAGATAAAGGAAAAAAAAAAAAGAGCTAATGCCTCAGTTACACTGCACCATATGCAGCTATTTTAGTCTCCGTTTTAAGAAGTTATTAAACATTAAAGCCTCTGAGCAATCCCCAAACAGTTGGGGGAGGAAGGAGCAGGGTTCCCCAAAACTCCCCCCCCCCCCCCCCCCCCCCCCGCCACAAACCCAAGCGCAGGATCCAAGTAAGAATCACAGCCTTAAGGGGGAAAAAAAAAAAAAAATTAACAAACAAACAAACAAAAACCAACCAAAACCAACCAATCCCACACAACCCAGAAAAAAACCCCAACAAACCACTGCACAAAACAAAGTGGAGCCTTTTGGCACGACCGCTTAGAAGGAATCACAAGGGAACAGAAATAGCTTCCAATCTCGAAATATTCAAAGGATTAGTGGTGCAGTGAAAAAAAAAAAATGAAGAAAAAAAAAAAAATAAAAGCCTGGCTCCGACCTGACTGGAAAATGTATTTCGGAGCCAAACTAGCGCTGCTTGGCTCGGGGATCTGTTTTGTTTTCACGCTGTAGTAGCGCAGGAGTAGAACCCGCCGCCTGCCCGGGACGGCCCCGACGTATTTATTTTCCTCGCTGGTGAATGAAACGCGGCGCAGCCCTCGCGATACTCCACCCCGGCACGCCGGGAACGCAAACAGGATTTTGGCCGGGGGGGGGCGACC